ATAACTGCCATTTTGGAAGTTATGTGTTCTAAGGCAGGGGCTCTTTTTTTTTTTTTTTTTTTTAGCTTTTTACTTGGAATAATTGTAAACTTACAGAAAAGTTGCAAAAATAGCACAAAGGACACTAGTATACCCTTTACACAGATTCATCGACTGTTAACCTTTACCCCATTCGTTTGTTCTCGTTCCCTTTCCACACATGCGCAATCTGTTTTCTGAACCATTTGAAGATTAATTGCATATACTATGGCCTTCTACCCCTAAATACTTCCGTGTATTTTTCTTAAGACTAGGAATATTCTCTTAGATAACCGTACAGTTACCAACTTCAGTAAATTTAACAGTGACACAGTCTTCTTATCTAATCTACCATCCATTTTCCAATTTTGTCAGTTGAGCCAATAATGCCCTTTATATTAAAAGCATTTCCCCTCCTCCAGTAGCCTGGGGCCAGGCATTGCACTGAGTTGTCATGGCTCCTTAGCCTCTTTTAATCTTGAACATTTCCCTAGTCCTTCTTTGACTTTCATGACGTTGACATTTTAGAACACAATTTTCCTCTTTTTTAAAAAATATAATATTTCTCCTTTCATGTTTGATTTTTCCTTGTAATTAGGTTCAGGTTATGCATCCTCAGCCAAATATTACCCACGTGATGTTACGTCCTTAGGCTAGCACATCTGGAGGCACGTGGTTTTGAGACAGGGGTTCTTAACCAGGGGAGCAGATCAGTGTCTCCCAAGCAAGTCTTCAAAGTTCCGGAACCCATGGCCCTGGAGCTCATGCCAATCTGCTGCCTGGTTCAGAGGCTGGAGGGTGAAGCGAGGTGTGTAGTTTTGGAACGAAGCTCCTGGGTGATCCTGAGGCACCTGGTGGGTCAGAATCACAACTTTTAAATAAGGGTTTGCACGTTAATATTAGAGTATTAATAAATAGGGGCCTTTTTTAGTTTTTTTTTTTTTTTGAGACAGAGTCTCACTATGTGGCCCTGGCTAGAGTGCCGTGGCATCAGCCTAGCTCACAGCAACCTCCAACTCCTGGGCTCAAGCAGTCCTCCCACCTCAACCTCCCAAGTAGCTAGGACTACACCATGCCCAGCTAATTTTTCTATTTTTAGCAGAGATGGGGTCTCGCTCTTGCTCAGGCTGGTCTCCGACTCCTGAGCTCAAGCGATCCTCCCGCCTTGGCCTCCCAGAGTGCTAGGATTATAGGAGTGAGCCACTGCGCCCAGCCCTGTTTTAGTATTTTAAAAAAAATTTATACCCTACCACATTCTCAAGGTTTGAAGTAGCTTATTCTGAGGGGAAAAAGTGAGAAATGAGAAAATAGAAAATAAAAAATAAATAAAGAAATTGTGGTTAAATGAAAATAAGGGTAGGAAAGATAAAAATAATCAAGAACAAAGGCTGATATGAAAAATGCATGTCATGAAGTGCTGTACCTCTGGAGAGGCAGGCTCTGAGCTTTCTAGCAGCCTATGCAAAATAGGAAACATGAACAGTTACATGATTCACAGTGCTCATAACAGCAAGAGAGGGCAGTCATATAAATTTTACTATGTAATATTTCCTGCATCCAAAACAACACGTGTGTTGCACATGAGGGCTAGGAAGCACAATGTTAAAATGAACACCCAGGAGCCCACCACACATTCCCTAAAACAGACCATTTCAATGCCATGAAAGTTCTCTAGGTGCCCTTCAACCATTCAGTTTTCCCAGCAGGTTTATTACTTTTATAATTTAAAAACAAGTTTAAACACATTTTTTAAAAAGACTGGATAAGGCCGAGTGCAGTGGCTCACAGCGAAACTCTGTCTCAAAAAAAGAGACCGGACGTTCATACAACTGCGTCACACCGTCATTCCTGGCGCTAAGGCCTGAGGAAGTTTCTCTCATGGATATTCACGGAAAGCACGTAGTCAGGCACCGAGAAACAGATGTCCTTGCCGCATTCTACAACAGAGGGCTAGGAATGCCCTTTTCTTTCAAACCAGTGAACAAAAAACCACCTTCGATGCCCATTATAAAGCTAATTTATAGGTGTTATATAAAATTAAGTAGATAAATATCTGAGAATAGCCAAAAGTGTTTGAAAAATTAATGTAACAGAGGAGAAGTTGCCTTACCAGGTATGAACTTCCTATAATATGATTGTTATCAGAACAGGGTGTTACTGCTTAGGAATGATCCATCATGGGCCAGAGTTGGGCTTCTCAGGTGTTAATGTGCAGGCACGGCCCAGGACACCTGGCTGAAATGCAGATCCTGGTCCAGGAGGTCTGGGATGGGCCCTGAAATTCTGTATTTCTAACAAAATCCGGGTCATGCTGGTGCTGCCTGTCTGAGGAGCACACTTTGAGCAGCAAGGGGCTGGAGCTGTGGTCCTCAACCCGCCGGGCCACAGACCATGAACTGGGCCGCACAGCAGGGGATCGAGCCAGCAAAGCCCCACCTGCACCCACAGCCGCCCCCCATTGCTGCATCACCGCCCCAGCCCCGCCCCTGTCAGATCGGCAGCGGCATCAGACCCTCATAGGAACACGGTCCCCGCTGCAAACTGCACATGCAGAGATCCACGTTGTGTGCTCCCCATGAGAGGCGACTCCCCCTCCACGCCTGTGGAAAAACTGTCTTCCATGAGACTGGTCCCTGCTGTCAAAAAGGTTGGGGACTGCTGGGCTAGAGAGTCCAGAAATAGATCTAAGGATGGATGTAAACCTGGCAGACGACAGAGGTGGGAAAGGGTGGTTTATCCCATGGGTCACGGAGCCAGATGCCTTCGGGCTCTGGGAAGTGAGGGAAGCAGCCGATGTCAGACCGTGGGGAGCTGCGGGGCCTAAAGATCATGCTTCTTCCACCTCAGTGTTCAAATTCAAATAGTAAAAAGGAGAAGAAGAGAGAAGGAGGAAGCAAGACTTACTGATTGAAGCATTTTGAGGTTAAATCAGGCAGCCTGATGGGACCACTGGTTTATACCGTGCTCCCATAATTGGCTCTCAGAGAACAAGAAAACTAAGTGGTTGTACACCACTTCCTTTCACACCGAAAAGGAAAATGGATTAACATAAATTCCAGTAGAAGAAATATCTCAGCATAAAAAATAAACTATAACAACGTTAGAAGAATTGAGAGAAAATGTGTGTCTAAGCTTGAGGTAGGGCAGGCCTTCTGAATCAAGACTGAAACCCATGAAAACAGTCTGGCGTCACATAAGGCATGAAGACAAGAGCAAAGAGCAGATAATACCTTTGAAAAAGAATGGCCAGTATCACTACAGTTTAAACAATTAAGACAATGATGAGACAGATCGCCGTTCAGAGCGATTCTGCCCAGTCATGAGGACGAACCCTCCTCTCCTGCAGCACTGGGCATCTGGGGATGTTTATCGGGACTGAAAATCACAGACCCTTTGATCCCCCAAACCACTTTTGGGAGTCTTAACTTAGCTCTCAGAGCATGGCTAGGCTTATTGTTGCCAGTAAGTAACCATAGATAAGCAGGTTTTGAAGAGGCTTTTTGTTCATTTGTTTTTTAAGTATTTTCAAACATCCGAAAGTAGGCAGAATCATAAAATAAATCCCTGTGTGCTCATCACCAACTTCAGCAATTAATGGCGTTTGACTAACCTTGTTCCTTTCTTCTCCTCTACATATTTTTTCTCCCCTGAGTTCCTTAAAGCCAATTCCACACATATCATGCCACCTGCATGTTAAATAATTCAACGTATATCTCTAACAGATAGGGGCTTTAAAAAACACGCACACATATAACCACAATGCCAAATACAATTAACACTAATGCCTTAGTATCTACTACCAGTTCATGTTCAAATTCCTCTTATTTTCTCGAAACATCTTTTTGCAGTTCATTTATTTGAGTCTGTCCAAACAAGTGCCACACACTGCATCTGGTTATGTTTCTCAAATCTCTTTTAGTATATTTTTAATAAGGCACTGCCTTAGTGTCCAAAAAAAAAAAAATACACACACACAATAAGTGGGACAATGTCAATGTCTATAAGGTAGGCAATGATTAGACCTATAGACAAGATTAAAAGAGAATCGGGTGCAATGGGGGATTGTTAATTTTTTCTTTAAACACCTCTAGAGTGTTGACTTGGTACAAAGTACATGTGTTAATTTTATACTTGAAGAGAAAATCTTGCTTTTGTTCTTCATAATGTCTTTAACCAGGCAGCTTAAAATGTCTCGGTGAGTTTCAGTAGGGAGAACCCACCATTTTCTGTGGGGTTTTGCTTGGAGAACAACACCAGAGTGGGCGGTTTGTGAGGTACATCAGTGGCAATGTGACTTACCTTTGGTTTGGGCTGATTTTTAAATCATGTATGACTTTGTTTGGCGAACAAAATGGATTGAAAGCTCCGCCAACAGATTCTGTGCTGTTAGCGTGATTTAGGATTAAGGCATTGCTGTCGGTGTTTAACATGGTCTGTTTCCTTCTGTCCCCCGCCCCGCAGGCTTCCACCATGTTACGAGCCTCCTTGGCACCTGTGTAAGTAACTGCTTTTAGGAATTTTTATTAAGGAGAACAGCCCTGTGTAAAACCAGAATTTAAAATATCTTTAATAAACACTTATCTTAGCAGCCTAGTTTAGAATAATGCCTTTGAGCTAGAGCTATGTGTGGATATTAAAGGAAATACCAGTACTTATACGTAATGTTGAACTAGAATTATCTTTTAATGTTCATTCTATTTGTTTTGGTAAGGTAGCATCAAATGGAAAAAAACTGTTGAATTGTTCCTATGGTATTCTATAGAAATGAACTTAATCTACATCATAGTGCAGTCAACAGTCAACAGCGACGTAGTCTCTAAATTTTATGTTCTCTGCTGGTCCATGCTGTGACCAGGGTCACGGGATAGCTTTGTGCATGCCCTAGCATTCCTATCCAAATCAGTTAGGCTGTCACCCATGGGAGTGTCTGATGCATGTTCATCAGACCACGCCCGGCTGGTTTTTAGCTTTTTATTTTGAAATATAGGTTTACAGGAAGTTGAGGCTCCCGGCTTCCCCAGTCGTGACATCTTAAATGACTGTAGCATTACATCATAATGAGGAAATTGCCATTGATACGGTACCATAAACTAGACCACAGACCTCACTCAGTTTCACGTGTTTTTCCATGCACTCTCTTTTTCCGTACATCTCCTTTTCTTCAACAAAACAAAATGTGAAGAAGACACTTGTTTTAGTGGCAAGGAATCTGAGGTGATTCCTTTTGTTTCTGGCTAACCAAAGGCAGGTGTTGGGTCAGTCTGAGCTGTGTAGCTCTCTAATCAGAGATCTCTCTTACCCAACACAAAGAAATGAGAAATGTTTGAGGTGATGGATATGCTAATTACCCTGATTTGATCATTACACATTGTATGCATGCATCAAAACATGATGTGTACCCCACAAATATGTATAATTATTATGTATCAATACAATTTTTTTAATTAGTAATAAAACCAAACAAAAATTGTAAAAAATGAAAGATCTGGCCAGGCGCAGTGGCTCATGCCTGTAATCCTAGCACTCTGGAAGGCCGAGGTGGGTGGATCGTTTGAGCTTAGGAGTTCGAGACCAGCCTGAGCAAGAGCGAGACCCCGTCTCTACTAAAAATAGAAAGAAATTAGATGGACAACTAAAAATATGTAGAAAAATTTAGCCAGGCATGGTGGTGCATGCCTGTAGTCCCAGCTACTCGGGAGGCTGAGGCAGGAGGATCGCTTAAGCTCAGGAGTTTGAGGTTGCTGTGAGCTAGGCTGACGCCACAGCACTCTAGCCCAGGCAACAGAGTGACTGTCTCAAAAAAAAAAAAAAAGAAAGAAAGATTTCTCTTAATTGAAACCTAACTCCCCTGAGGTCTTTGATTTGGGGTCTTCTTGAAGAGAGTCTGCCAATTGTCCTACAGTCAGCTGGTCTCAGAGCCATAACCCCCAGCCGCTTCCTGACCATGCACTTCTACCTCCTTGGCCAAGCCACCCACCCGTTTGCTCTCCACACTAGTTTCCTGACCCCTGATCTGTCCTTCACACTCCCCTGTCAGGTCCCTCAGGCTGGAGCGGGACAGTGGTTTCAGGTTTGTAGGTGGAACTCTTGGGGCCTGCTAATGTAGTAGTCTTTGGGCTTTGCTTAGAGTTCTAAACGGAAATTCGGTGGAAAGTTTTGATGCCTCCAAGGTGATTTCTTTCCCATCATATGGAGCCCTGGCTTAAAGTGAATGTGGGGATTTCTAAATCTGTTCAGGCAGAGACTCCTCATTTTAGGAAATATGTTAAACAGAACCTCAGTCCATCCAGCAGAAAGAGTGGAACTGAGCCAGTCGAAGCAGGGGCAGGGAACCTGGAACCCAGCCAGCCCCCCGTGTGGAAGCTGGGAGTTCATTCCGGGAACCCAGGGGAATAGCTGTCCACTGCTGGTCTATCTGCACAACTCTAGATCAGGTGTCATAATGCTCAGGAGTCGTAATGAACATACCCTTTTGCCCTTTTCTTTCTCTTTGAACTTGGCTTGCTGAATAGGAAATTGAAAGATGTCCCATTACTGCCCTCCCTGGATTATGAGAAACTGAAGAAGGATTTGGTTTGGGGGAGCGATCGTTTGAAAGCCTTCTTGTTGCAGGCTCTGCGCTGGGTAGGTACCTTTTCCTTGAAGTTAAACAACAAAACAACAAAACCTATACTGGTTTCCTTGGCTGGCTACCTTGCTTGCATCTTTTAACCCATCTAAAAATCTTTTTTCTTGCTGCCTACTGACACCAAGAACGAAAGTTTAACACAGCTTCTGAAGATAGCCTTGGGCTCCTTTTAAAAAAACCCTGTATTGGCCTGGGGCAGTGGCTTATGCCTGTAATCCCAGCACTTTGGGAGGCCAAGGCAGGAGGATCACTTGAGGGACAGGAGTTCAAGACCAGCCTGGGCAATAGGGGAAGACCCCATCTCTACAAAAAATAAAAACATTAACCAGGCATGGTGGCATGCACCTGTAGTCCCAGCTACTCCAGAGGTTGAGGCAGGAGGACTACTTGAGCCCAGGAGTTTGAGGTTACAGTGAGCTATGATCATACCCTGCACTCCAGCCTGGGTGACAGAGGACACCCTGTCTTTTACAAAAAAAAACCAAAACCAACCAAGAATCCTATATTGATATCATAGTTGCCATTGCCTTTGTGTGATGTGATACATGCAGGTCCAAGGCCCTGCCCCTGCCACATGGCCCTTTCCTGGTCATGAGCCTAACTCCCTGCTTGTGGACACCCTTGTGTGAGAGCGTGGAGTTGGGCTCGCTCCACAGCCCTGCAGAAACCTCTGTTCGAGCACTGCCATGCAGCCACCCTGGGCAGGCTCAAGGGTTCAGGTTCAAGGAAAAGAACTCAGGTTAACAAGGCTCTAGGGGAAGCAAGCCGAGTTGTTGCTTTTCTTCCCAGTCTTCAGATGGATCACAGTGTAAACCAGCAGTTGCTTCTCAAGCTTTTTGGTCTCAGAGCCCTTTCCACTCCCCCAAATTACTGAGGACCACAGAGACCTTCTGTTTACATGAAGTTTATCTACCAATATGTTCAATATTAGAAATCAAAACTGAGAAAATTCTTAAAATATATTTGTTAATTCACTTAAAATGAATAATAATAAATGAATGACATGTTAACATAAATAATGTATTTTTATGAAAAATAACTATTTTCCAAATAATAAAAAAAATTAGTGAGGATAGCATCATTTTACATTTTTGCAAATTTCTTTAATGTCTGGCTTGATGGAGGACAGCTGGAGTCTCATGTCTGCTTTTGCGTTTGATTTGTCATAGTGTCCCAATTCATATAGCCTCTGAGAGATTGAGCATGAAGAAAGCAGATCATGTCTTAGTAGTATTATGAAAATAATTATGACCTTGCAGACCCCTTGAAAGGGTTTTGGGGATTCCCTATGGTTCCCCAGATTGTACTTTGAGAGCTGCTGGCTTAAGCCAACCCTGGTTGGCTATTTAACTGGATGATCCACTCTAACTCACTGTGCATTAGCATCAGACTCCATCATGGATCCCCAAATTTCAAGGCATCTTGGCATCAAAATCCTGTGGGCAATTTCCCTGTCTCTGGATAGAAACAGTTGTCACTTACACTTCTGATGTTTGGTGGTGCTTCCTGCAACATATCTCGAGGCATGCTCTGAGACTCCAGGATCAGCAGGAAGAGCCCTGTGGTCAAGCAGTGATGTCTGTTCTTGTTTTGTTTGGGTCATTTGTCCAGAGTGGGTGGGGCAGCATGTGGCCGTCCCCACCCTGGCCATTTTCCTCTCTGCTCAAGTTCTCAAACTCATCTTTTATTTGGCTCTTGGTTTGCTCACTCAGCACGTCCTCTCGGTCCGTGCCACTCCAGAGCCTCTTGAGGAGACAGGGTATTCCTCTGCTGAGAGAATGACATTTTCACAGAATGTTCACAGGAAAAATGAACAGGTTTCTTATGGTTTTTCTGTGTCCCTCTCCAGTCCCCCATCTAGCCCCTTGCCCTTGCCTCAACCTCAGTGAACTTGACAGAAGGTCGGCAACGTCCCACGTGACACTCTGGGCACACCCCTCCTTCAGGACAGTCCCCCTTTACCTTTGACGCCTTGCCCGGCCACAGTGGTCAGCGTCTGTCAGCAACACTTGCCTCTGCAGGCCTTCCCAGCTCTCCCTCCCACTCTTGGGTGTCCGTTGCTCTTGCTGTCCTCTTGCCCACGCCAAGAACCAGCATGTTCTTTGCACATCTGCCTTCTGTTTGGCCAAAAGCAGGGCCTACAGCCTCGGGATTTTATCTTGTAAGATTTTCCTGGAGAAGCAAGAACATTTGCTCACTGCAGTTACATGGCTCTGTCATCTCCCAGCTCGCACCTCTGCACACCCATGTGCACACACACACGCACGTAAGTTTTCTTCCTGCCCTGTGGATATTGCGTCAATTCTTACAGCAACATAACAGAATTAAGGCTTTTCAGAATTCCAGCCAGCTACCCCGTACACACACGCGCGCACACACACACACACACACGTGTGCTGCATGCCAGGCATTCAACGCGCTCTACAGCCTGCTCTGGGCCCTGCTGTTGAGCCCGCTCAAATGCACCCTGTATTTTGTACCTCCCTGAGCTGGATCACACTTCCCTGTCCCCCACCACACTCACGTTCCGCCGTGCTTGGTTAATCGTCCGCCCATCCTCAGGGGCCAACTCTCGAGCCCCTTCCTACAAGAAAAGCCGCTCCGGGCGTTGGTGAGCTCTCCCTTGTCTGCACACTGAGAGTTGGGAATCTTGCCGCTTCCTTCTCTGAGGCTTTCACATGAAAATTCACTCCAGCATCCCCTACATCACCCATTAGGAAGTCCAGCATCGTAAGTTCTTGTTAATTGACTGGCTGGTTGGTTAACTAGCTCCCAGCTGGATGTTATTTATTGTGGGCAGTTATAAGCCTTTTAAAACACACCTGCGTCCGGGCGCGGTGGCTCACGCCTGTAATCCCAGCACTCTGGGAGGCCAAGGCGGGCGGATCGTTTGGGATCGTTTGAGCTCAGGAGTTCCAGACCAGCCTGAGCAAGAGCAAGACCCTGTCTCTACTAAAAATAGAAAGAAATGATCTGGACAACTAAAAATATAGAAAAAATTAGCCGGGCATGGTGGCACATGCCTGTAGTCCCAGCTACTCGGGAGGCTGAGACAGGAGGATCACTTGAGCCCAGGAGTTTGAGGTTGCTGTGAGCTAGGATGACGCCACGGCACTCACTCTAGCCAGGGCAACAGAGTGAGACTCTGTCTCAAAAAAAAAACAAAAAAAAACCACACGTGCTATATGAAAATGTTTCTCCCTGGTCCTATGTAACTTAGGGGTCATTACTTTTGTTTTTCTTCACTCCAGCGCTTGACCACATCCCATCCTGGAGAGCAGAGGGAGACCGTCTTGCAAGCCTACGTCAGCAACGACCTCTTGGACTGTCATAGCCACAGCCAGGTGGGCAGGAGGTGGCCCGGAGCCCAGCCAGGGCCTTCGGGGTGAGGGAATGACCTTGGCAGATGGGGAAGCTTTCGTTTCTGTGCGTATCTCAGCACAGTGACCATATGGCAGCCTCTAGCTGGCTAGCTAGTGAAACCTGTTGTTCACCCCGGATAACAGACCTCACCAGCTAACTGCTAGTAGAGAGTTCTAAACAAGTTAGAACTGCTCGATTTGTCTCTGGAGCTCCTTTTTGCCATTTTTCCTTTTCTCAAATTCCCAACTCTTTCCTGCACCTCACTTTGTTCCATGAGTCCTGAAAACTGAGTAGGACTTAGGATGGACAAGGTATATAAGCAAATGCGGGACTTTTTTCGTCTGGGCCTGAGTGAAAATGTGTCTTTAACACAATATTTATACACAGCTTTGAATCAGATAGGTCTACTGATGATGTGGGAAAGTATGAGCTCTGGGGTGAGATCCATTGCTTTCCAACCTGTGCTCTGCCGTTCATTAGCCAGGTCATTTTAAGCAGGTGAGTCAGTCTCAGGAGCTTCCCCATCTAGGAACAGGAGCCTCACGCTGTTGTTGAGATGATGACGTGCAGTCACGCGAGGGACATGCGCAGCCGGGGCCTGGCACCGAGGCGTCTCTGCGTGGTGGTCCTCCTCCTCCTCCTCCCTGCCCCTCCTGCATGTGTCTGCACCAGGCATCACTGGACAGTGGGAGGATCAGGATCTTGAACTCGGCACATGTAAAGAAGATACTACATTTTATTTCATGTTATTTCATTTGAGTTTTTATCAGAATGCTCTAAAATGTAAAGCTATTGTTAAGCTTCACAATGTGTGTGCTGGAGTAGCCAACGCTGTCAGCACTGATTAAACAGCTGTCTGTGCCCGTTTCCCACAGCTGTAACAGAACACCACAGACCAGATAATTTATAAGCAATAGAAATTCATTTGGCGCACAGTTCTGGAAGCCGGGAAGTCCAAGAGGATGGCGCCAGTGTCTGGCAAGGGTCATCCCATGGCAGAAGGCAGCAGCGGGCATGCTGGGCAGAGAGAATGGGGGTGGAATCTATCCTTTAGCAGGAGCCCACTCCCGAGATAAGTAACCCGGGGTCGAGATAACAGCATTAATCCCTTCGGGAGGGCAGAGCCCTCTTGACATAATTACCTCTTAAATGTCCTAGTACCGTTACATTGGCAATTAAATTTCAACATGAGTTTTGGTGGGTACATTCAAACCATAGCAACAGCACCCTGGCAAAGTGAGTTGCACGCTCTCTGTTGTGTGTACAGGCAATACGATTCAGGAGTTTCAGGTTGTCAGTTTACTCTCATGTTCACTTTGCGAAAACTCATCAGGCTGTATACTCATCATCTGTGCAATTTTCTGTGTAGATGTTATACTTCAATAAGAATTTGACCTAAATAAAGATGGTGTACTGGCAGTAGGCATCTTGGGAACAATAACCTTCAACACGTCACCCTCCTGAGTCAGCTCAGTTCAGTCTGGACTTGTGGCTTCCTGCATCAGGAGTCTCCTCGCCAAACTTCTGCTGATTCCTTTCACCTCTCCCCTGAATTGCCTCTCTGCTTCCAGTATCCATGTCGTCTTCTTTCCTGACTTACTCTCTCAGTTGGTGGAGCACTTCCTTTGGATAACAGCTTCTAGACAAAGGATGCGCAGGAAGTATATTTTTTGAGACCATGTGTGGTCTAAAAATGTCTTTATTCTTTGCATAGAATTCTGGGTTGTAAATAATTTTCCTTAAGAATGTTGAAGACATTGCTCCGTAGGTTCCAGTTTTACTGTTGAGAAATCCAAACTCATTCTAATTCCTGGTCTTTTGTATGTGACCTGTTTTTCTCTCTATAGAGGCACGTTGAATCTTCTTTTTATCACCAGTGTTAGTAAACTGCCCATTGACATCCTTCAAGAGCTGTGTTTTGATCCATTGGTGTGAGCACTTTGGGGGCCCTTTCAGTCTGACAGCTTCAGTTCTGGGAAGTTTTCTTGAGTTTTTTGTTGATGATTTCTTCCCTTCTGTTTCCTCTGTTCTCTCTTTCTGAATGTTGGACCTCCTCAACTGGTTCTCTATTTTTCTTATCTTTTCTCTCCCATCTTCCATCTTTTTCTTTTTGTTCCCCTTTTGGGGAGATTTCCTCATCTTTATTTTTCTATCCTTCTGTTGAGCTTTTTATTTCCTTTTTTATAGCATTCTCTTGTTTTGTGGCTGCAGTACAGCTTCTTGTATCTTTGAGGATATTAGTGATGTTTGTTTATTTTTAGTTTTCTTCTCCCTACGCAGTCTCCTTTCCTCCTCTTTGTTCCAGCTCTGTCTTCCATGTTGGAACTCTCCTCCCACGTCTGGTGGTCCTTGTTATCTCGTACAGAGAGAGTGAGAGTGAGCGAACTAAAAAGCCGATTGGAAGCTCTGAGAGCTCCCCTGAGGACGATCCGGGTGAGCCATTTATTGGAACCTCTGGTTTCAGGGTGTCCAGTTCTTTCCTCTTGGCCTGGTCATTTTCCTCTGAGAAGTCTTTTAATCTCCTGCGCAGAGGGTGAGAGTCTGATTGCCAGGGTACTGGGAGCCAACTGGGGGTGGAGGAGTAGGAGTGGTTCTCTGCTCAGCATTCATCCTGCGTTTAGACACTGATCCTCCATTTGCTCTAGAACCCCCGTTCACCTGTGCCGGTGTCCTCTGCTCCATAGACCCTTTGTGTCACCTGCACAAGACAGCCCCTCCCCCAGCCCTGTGCTGGAGGTGCGCAGGAGCAGCAGGAGTGAGATCAGGCTGCTGCTTGAACAGCTTTCAGTCCTTCTTCTTTCTTTTTCCCAGTTCTTAAGCCTTTTGAGGAGTAAGTGATGGAAATTGGGTAATTGTGCATCGCCCATTGCTGCCTGAGATTTGGCGTTCTTGGGCCTGCTAAGCCTGTTGTTACCGTCCTGCATTCCTGCTTCCAAAATTGTGTCGTTATAGTTTCTTACGCTCTTCTCTGTGTCCTAAGGAATTTACGTCTTTTTTAAAAGTCCATTTACTGCCGTCTCACTGTGGTTTCGAGGGAGCAAAATTTAGATGTGTCTGTTGAATCTACCATTCTAACCTGGGAAAGCAGCAGCAACGACAGCAACGAACAGTACTGCTTATTCTGGGCCAGTCACAGTTCTGAGTGCTTTGGATAGTGAATTCATTTAATTTAGAAATCCGACTAACTTCTTTTTTCCAGGTCTCGTCAAATATCCATTGGAAATCAAGACTTGCAGATGAAATGTTTGGCTTTAGTCTGTTTGTTTCACCTCTGATAAATTCAGGCCTGCGCAGAGGAGACATATGTTGACCTCTCCGTTTTCTTCATCTGTCTTGATTTTTCCCCACAGAGGAGTGTGCTTCAGCTGCTGCACTCGAAGAGTGAGGTGGTGCGGCAGTACATGGCCAGGCTCGTCAATGCTTTCGCGTCGCTAGCAGAAGGTGAGATGGCAGCTTTCCTTAAAGAGAAGAGCTAGGTCTTATTGATGTGTTTTTTCCTTTGAAAGCGAGCACTGCTCCCAAGTTTCTTAGAGATGATATATGTTTCCTCAATTTATTATTGTTTAATTCCTCTAAGGTCTTTTGTGAAAATTAGTTGTTGTCATATTGCTTTAATTTATGTCAGAGAACATTTTGATGGTTTTGGAGTTTATTTTGTATTTTCTGGTTTTATTCTATAAGCTTTCTGGTTTTGTAATATAGTACTTCTTATTTTGCTTTCAAGTATTTAACAGGCAATGAATGCATTTTTCTATAGTTTTCTACTGAAGGCAAAATAAGATTGGTAAAATAATTAAAGTTGATTCTAATAAGCACTACACCATTTTCTCCAAAAGACTATAAATTCTTAAATCAAAGGATTTGAAAATTCCAAAGATAACCTGCTACCATAACTGAATTCAAAATGAGGCGTGTGCGGTGGCTCACGCCTGTAATCCTAGCTGTCTGGGAGGCCGAGGCGGGTGGATTGCTTGAGCTCAGGAGTTTGAGACCAGCCTGAGCAAGAGTGAGACCCTGTCTCTAGTAAAAATAGAAAAATTAGCTGGGCGTGGTGGCGCACACCTATAGGCCCAGCTACTCAGGAGGCTAAGGCAGGAGAATTGCTTGAGCCCAGGAGTGTGACGTTGCAGTGAGTTCGGATGATGCCACTGTACTCTACCTGGGGCGACAGTGTGAGATTCTGCCTCAAAAAAAAAAAGAAAAAAGATTTTGCAACATGCCATTTTGATAAGTTCTTACTTGTTTGAGTTCTTTTTAATGTGAATAAAGGAAATTTTCAAGTTACGAATATATGATACTCTAAAACTTTGTACATTCATTCATTTGTTCATTTTTCCATCCGTTTGGCAAACATTTATTTTAAGCCAGGGTATGTGCTGAGGGCCATTCATATGGTAATGCTATTGAAACTTGTGTCCATAATCAATGTCCTCTGATCAGTTCAGAAACCCATAGCAGGCTAGTGACCATCCTGGGCTTATCACAGAATTTCGGGTATGCCTCCCACCTTCTCCTCCAGGCTCTGGGCATATCTAGAAAGATTGGGGAGTGTGGCCTGCAGCACTTATTGGCTGCCTCTATTGTAAAGGCCAAGGGCTCATAACACACAGATCCACACCCTTTTTCTTCTTGTAGATCTGACCATCAAGTCTAGGCAAATAAAAAGACACTGCTCCCCACAAGAACATGGTGATGAATTATGTTTGGCTTACAAGAAGCGTGGTTTTTCTATTCATTAGATAGTTGATTGAATAAAACCAATTGTTACAAGACATACATTTTAATAAATTTTAGTAAAATTACCCAAACTCTATTCTGTTATATGTAAACAAAATTTTCATACAATGTGGGTTTGGAGCATACCAGATAAATTCTATCCACCGTTCACCTGTTTCACGTCTGGCATATTATTAGGTCGCCTCTACCTTGCGCAGAACACGAAGGTGCTTCGGATGCTGGAGGGAAGGCTGAAGGAGGAGGACAAGGACGTCATCACTCGGGAGAATGTCCTTGGGGCCTTGCAGAAGTTCAGCCTCAGGTGATGACTGGGCAAGAGGACATGTGGCTCCTGTGACATCAGATTTGGGTTGTTTTAGCCACTATTCAGTGCTTATTTTATTCCTATAACAACCTAGAAGGCAGAGGATATTTTTCTAACACTTAGGAGAGGTTGGGCAGCTTTCCAAGGCAGAGCTGGAAACTCTGTCCCTATTCCATCAAACTTTCCCACTCAAGGCTGCGGGGATGGAGGAAGACATTTTAAAAGCACCATTATATTCTCCTAATGGACTTCATCTGGTGCCAGCCAGGTGCTAGACTGTGTCTCAGACCACGTGCCAGGCTTAGGGACAGACACATGAATAAGACCTCACAGAGCATCGGCCTTCAAGTTGCTGCCAGCCCCCCTCGTGGGAGCCGAGCACAGAGAGGGACATCTCAGCATGATGGGCAGGCCTGCGGGCTCAGGGTGAGGGCCTCCTGGTTCCGTGTCGACACATCCCAGCAGCCCACCCCGTAGACTCGGCCTGGGCTCTGTCATGACTTGGAACCAGTCCATGTCAGAAATTTCCCAGTTAGACACGTCTTCTTGAACCAGATCTGGTGTGCTCCTGGAGCTTATTTTTAATTAACAGCTTCATTGAGGCATACTTTACATATGATAAAAGTCACCCATTTTAAGTCCACAATTCCGTGATTTTTAGTATATTTACAGAGCTGTTCCACCATGACCACAATCTAGTTTTAAAACATTTCCGTCACCACAAAAAGCAACCTCATACCCATTTACAGACACTCCTCATTCCTGCCCCAGCCCCAGGTAACTGCTAACCTACTTTGTGAAGATTTACTTGTATTGTACATTACATATAAATGGAATCATATGATGTGTGTTCTTTTGTGACTAGCTTCTTTCACTTAGCATAATGAAGGTTTTTCAAGGTCTATGCATGTTGTGGCACATGTCGGTACTGCGTTCCTTTCCATTGCTGGACAGCACTCCGTTATGTGGACGTACTACGCTTTGTTTATCCGCTCATAAACTGATGGGTGTTTGTGCTGTTTTCTCTTTTGGCCGATTCGCGCAACGCTGCTGTGAGCACTTGAACACCGAAGTCTTTATGTGGACATGTATTTCCTGTCTCCTGGACAGGTGTCTGGGAGTGGAATTGTTGGGTCATGTGGTAATTCTTCCAGAGTCCTTCTTCCCTCATAACCACCTCACATTCTCTTTCACTTTATTAAAAATTCTATAGCCGGGCGGTGGCTCATGCCTGTAATCCTAGCACTTTGGGAGGTCGAGGTGGTAGGAACACTTGAGGTCAGGAGTTTAAGACCAGCCTGAGCAAGAGCAAGACCTCATCTCTACAAAAAATAGAAAAATTAACCAGGCATGGTGGCGCATACCTGTTGTCCCAGTTACTCAGGAGGCTGAGGTAGAAGGATCCCTTGAGCCCAGGAGTTTGAGGTTGCAGTGAGCTGTGGTGACGCCACTGTACTCTAGCCCAGATGACAGAGCAAGACCCTGTCTGAAAAAAAAAGGAGGGGGGGGTCCTAGTCCCTGGCGTCCTCAGCTTTTTCTGTCAGTCCCCTTATGAACACGCTTTCTTCACATCCAATGTGTTTAACGTTTCACTAACTCTCGCTAATAACCAGAAGCCTGCGACGTGAAATAGTCTAAGTGCAAATCTCTTGTTCTGACTGTATGGATTGAGAAGAACCATAGGTGATACCCAGAGCTGTGACTTCCTCAGCTCACACCAACACTTCTTGTCTGTCTATGTGTAGAGATAACTTAGCTTGATGTTGACCATATCTGGGAAATTTTTAGAAATTTAATAACTATAGTTGAGTAACAGATACAAGATATGGTAAAGAAATACCTCTTCCTGGTAATGCAAATGTTTACTGCCTATTTAGTCTTTTCCTCCAAATAGTAATTTAAGCTTTTCTGTTCTATAAACGTGCTTAATGCTTTTGCAGTTTCCCAGCAGCTCTGCAATGAGTGTAGAAAGTAGTCATGCTTACCAAGAGACCAAGTCTCCTTGTACTCATGTTCTAAGTCTCACTGATTGGGTGGGGATAGTGTTTAAGAACAGCATGAAGGGACACTGGCTTTGCTGTTCTGTCCTGGGTGGTTGTTTTACCATAACCTGTTAATCAAGAGATGTATAGGGCTGGCTTCTCCATGGTGTTTTGATTTTCAAATAATTCAGATGGCTTCTCCTGCCACATTTAGTCTCATCGGTTCTTAAAGCTGATATGATGACATTCACCATTACACATTTTGATGAGGTACTGGATTTCGCAAGGTTTTATACCTGGACTTTGGGTGGAAAATCATTCCTTATAATTTATATTACCCAGGTCGTTAAACTACCCTTACCCTATGATAGTGATCTGCATCAAATAGTCTTAAGCTGGGTTTTTGCTCTTTTTTGTTTTTCTTTATATTCATACAGCTCAAAGTGCCTAAGCTGGATTATATAGAGCATAGGTAAAAATCTATTTGTCAAGGAAGTATTTCTATGGCCCTGTTTCATGGGTTGAGTAAGTAGAATATCAGTAAATATATGTTAAATATTTGAAGTAATGTTCTGCTAATTTTAAATATTGACAAGGAAGCTTTCAAAGTGGGAGGCCTCCTAACTTCCTTATCTTTTTATAAACGCTTAGCAATATCCCTGCAAGGAAAACAATTTTTATTGTTTCAGTTGTGTGGGTTTAACAATAAAATAATCCTCAGAATCTATATCCTCTGTACAGTTTGTCCTTTCTGTCCTTTCTGATATGCATTCACATTACTATATACTCCTGTTTTTTTTTTTTTTTTTTCGAGACAAGGTCTCGCTCTGTTGCCCAGGCTAGCGTTCAGTGGTATCATCACAGCTCACTGTAACCTCAGATTCCTGGGCTCAAGCGATCTTCCTGCCTCAGCCTCCTGAGTAGCTGGGACTACAGGTGCGCATAAAACCATGCCCAGCTGATTTTTCTATTTTTTGTAGTGACAGGGTCTCACTATGTTGCTCAGGCTGGACTTGAACTCCTGGGCTCAAGTGAGCCTCCCAAAGTGCTAAGATTACAAGTGTGAGCCACTGCACCTGGCCACATTACTATATATTCTTATATGAAAAGTTTCTTGCCGGTTTTAATTTACCTTAGGCTATTTCGTCCTAGGCGCCCGCTGCAGACAGCAATGATTCAAGACGGCCTCATCTTCTGGCTGATTGATATTCTGAAGGATCCCGATTGCCTGTCTGACTACACACTGGAGTACTCGGTGGCTTTGCTCATGAACCTCTGCCTCCGGAGTGCAGGTCTCACAGCCCTGCCCCCATTCTGCTAGGGGAGGGGACAAGATCCCGGCCCTCAAATCTGGATTACCAATGAGCCTCCATGGTTTGCTCTGAGTCTCCTCATAGAAAACTAAAAAGAGAAAAAAGAGTGGAAAGCATCTCCAGCTAGGTGTAAGCTGTTCAGTCCATGAAGCCAAAATACCATTCTACCCTAGGAAAGAACATCTTATATCTGTATAGTGCCCACATTAAGAGGAAACTAAATTCGTTTACATTCTTCTTCATCTTCATTGCATTATTCGAATGTAAGAAGTTAAGAATTATGATCCCCTTCTTTGAAGAAAGAGAAATACGTTCCCAGGATCCTACAGGACTATGTCGGTGGCAGGAGCAGTGATGATAAACCGGGCTTCCTGCTCGTATTCAGTCGACTCCCCACCACCCCTGGAGATGGGGTGCTCCTGTAGGCATCACAAGTCCTTCACACAATCGGTAACGGTGGTGATTGTAGCTTTTCTGCAGTATGGCCCGTTGAAAGTCTCTGTTACCTGGGATGAGAGAGGCTCCTTTAGGAGAAGTGCCAAGTCCTAGCTGTGGCCACCTCCAGTCTGAGCAGCTGCAGAGTTTAGAGAAAAAGCTTACCTGGGTGAATAGCCAGCTCAAGGGTATTTGTTGGAAGCATCTTCACCTTCAGATGCTTTGTAATCTGAACCTCGTAACCGTGTGACATTGACTGAGTAAATGACTGTTTTTTAGTCTTCTGTTTTAAAAAATAGCATATGCAAAAAGTCCTAGCCTTTAATACATTCATCAGTTTTCTTTCATTATCAGTTTATTACAGTGTTTATTATGATGTTTGGAATTACTAAAATACTTGCATGATTTTTATGATAGCGGTATATACACTTGGGAGGTAGAACGTTGCTCTGCAACGTGCTGTACTTCACTACGGTACATCGCTCTGTGCTCTGGCTGGTGATAACCACCACCATTTCCTGAGCACATGGGTTCCGTGCTATCCCAAGTCCTTTACATACATTAGCTTACTTACCTCTGCATCACCCTTTGGGGTATTAATAATAATCCCTATTTTAAAGAGGAGGAAACTGAGGCCCAGGTTGGTTAAGTGACTCACCCAGTGTCACATAGCTCATAAGCAGAGGAGCCAAGATTTGTACCCAAGTCTGCCTGACCTAAAACTGTGCTTGTGAGTTTAGACGTGACATGTTTGTTTTGGTTTGTTTCCTACAGGGAAGAACATGTGTGCCAAGGTGGCAGGCCTCGTGCTCAAGGTCCTTTCAGATCTGCTTGGCCATGAAAACCATGAGGTACTCTGCTAGCACTGCTGGCCCTGGGCGTGGGGAGGCTGCTCTCGGTACTCAGCACCTGTGACCTGACAGGTGCATGGCTGGCCTAGGATAGTTACAGCATCTGCAAAGTTGTGTATATTCTCCCACCTTTGGGTTTTTTGGTTTTTTGTTGTTTTTTTTTTGAGACACGTTCTCGCTATGTTGCCCAGCCTGGTCTTAAACCCCTAGGCTCAGGCGATCCTCCTACCTCAGCCTCCCAAGTAGCTGAGTTTATAGACATGTGCTACTGTGCCTGGCTCTTCCAGGTGTTTTTATAAGTCACTGGAAATCTTTTATAATTTTGAAAATTTTAGAACTCAGAAACAGGAAGCTTTTCCTTCGCCTCTCCCTTATGCGCACCCTGGCCTCACTGGCCTGTGCCAGGCCTTCTCCCGTGGTACTTTTTCTCCTTATCGTCTAGCCCCCAACATTCCTACCTCAGTATCAACATTCTCTCTGGTGTGTTTAAAATATCCCATGGATGTGGATGAAGCCTTAAAAGAAATGTGATATTGTGTATTGAATTTGTAGAGCTGAGCGTTAAAGGATGAAGCAACTTTCCAGATAGACACATGTGTGGAGAGCATTCCCAGCAAGGTCAACTGCAAGAACCCAGCCAAGGCGTGGGACAGCGTGGTGTGGGGGTTGTCACTCAAGTAGCATGGAGACTTCACGGTGGCCGGGAGGGAAGAGCAGAGGGGGATGAGGCTGAGGCCAGTTCTTGAAGGAGCCTGGGCGCTGTGCACAAGAATTGGGCCTTCCCAGGTGGGCTCTGTGGGAGGCTTCCAAGGTGGAGAGAGGAATGATTTGGCCCATGTTGTAGCATTTTGGCAGTTATATGATGGCTGGATTAAAGGATGAACGTTGACAGTACAGAGACTGATTTGGAGATCTGATGTAGCCTAGGTCATAGACGATGATGTTCGTACAAGGACGGCAGCAGTGGATATGGAAAAGAGGTGTTCCTATCAAAGGTGCTTGAAGACCAAGCATAGGAGGCGTGGACAGAGGGGAATCAACAGTGACTCAAGTTTCCAGCCTGGGTGGTCACGGGTTAGAAATGACTTTAATTAAGCAATGAAATGTAGCAGGGGTAAGCTGTGGGAGGGAGTGATGAATTCGATTTTGGGACTCTTTATCGTAGCTGTCGCTGAGACGTGCAGATGGAAGTGTCTGCCATTTGGAAACATGCGTCCTGGAGCCCAGGACAGCTGTGAGGATGGGAACACCCACTCCTCATTAGCCAGGTTGTTCTCCTGTGTGGTGTTTGATAATAGAGTTGCACAGTATTTGAAAACTTGCAAATGATTGTTTTTTTCCTCCCTTAAAGATACAGCCGTATGTGAACGGAGCTCTGTACAGCATCCTTTCTATTCCATCCATTCGTGAGGAAGCAAGAGCAATGGTAAGGAAATGCGCTCGAGAAACATGTGAGCCTCCATCGTGCCACAATTCAGAACTTTTGCTCTTTGAGACAGAGCCTCACTCTGTCGCCCTGGATAGAGTGCCGTGGCGTCATCATAGCTCACTGTGATTTTAAACTCCCAGGCTCAAGGGTTCCTCCTGCCTCAGCCACCCGAGCAACTGGGACTACAGGCATGCGCCACCTAATTTTTTCTATTTTTTGTAGAGATGGAGGATCTTCCTCAGGCTGGTCTTGAACTCCTGACCTCAAGTGATCCTCCTGCCTTGGCCTCTCAGAGTGTTAGGATTATAGGCGTGAGCCTCCACACCTGGCCCACAATTCAGAACTTTTAGAAGAAGGACCTCCTCAGTTGGGCTCCATAGAAGGGCTTCAGATCATTAATGAACTCCCTTAAATTGTATGCAAAATATATATTTGGAATTTTCTGGGGAGAGAGTCTACAGCATTTATCAGATTTTCAAGGAGATCCCTAACTCCTAAGTGGTTAAGAACCACAGTGTTAGGAAGTTCCCAGCAGGCTTGTTTCTGCAACATTGTGGACATTCTGATAGCAACCAAATGGAACAGAAAAGCTGGAAAAGATTATAAAACTATTTACTACTTGGTTTGGTTGATAAATTGTGAATTCAGTATTTAATGTGTTTCTATTAGTGCTTACATTTGAAGTAAAAAACAAGCCCCAGGTGATCAGTATCTTATTTTGAGAGGACAAATGTTTCTAGATCTAATCAGCAAAACTGCTGGAGTTTTGTTCTTTTTCCTTACACTGTGTGAAACCTGGTTAGCAGCGTGAGTATTATATGCTGTGGTGAAGAGATTAAATATATTTCCACAGTGAAAACACAGGCTAAATTCTGGTTGAGACCAAAAAAACATTCTTCCAGTTGGTTTTGCTTACTTAGAAGAATTGCTAAATCTAATTGGTCATGTAAATTATGTCAACAGTTAACACCAGAGATAAAAACTTACTTAAGAACCATGCTATGTGAGCGTGCTAAACAATGGACCTTAATTGCCTACTGTTTTTAAGTAAAAAATCAGCTTTTTCACTGAAGAACAGGGGAAAATAAACTGGATTAAATTCTGCATTATGGTCTTTTAGGTGTAAGAGAGGGATTGTCAACCAAGGCAAAGAACAGGAAAAAAACACGTAGGCTGAAGAGAACGACAGAATGGAGGTGACATCAAATCGAAAAGAGCACAGTGTGGCATGGAGGAAAGACAGGAGGGCCTGGGTGGAGAAGGTGGGAGGGGGTGGCAGTCCGGGAGAGTCACAGGGAGAAAGAGATGGAAGACAGGGACAGAGCTTCAGAGACATGTGTGATGACATCAGGAGGTCTAACAGATACCTAATAGGACTTCCAGAAGGAGAGGAAGGTGAGAAAATGGGGCCGAAAAAAAGGTTGGATAATGAAGAAATTTGGTGAAAGATATAAACCTAACAATAAGGTATCTAGAAACCCCCAAATGTTTGGAAATTAAACAACACACACTTGTTATTAGTTATCTATTGCGGTCTAACCAATTACCCCAAAGCTTAGCATCTTAAAATTTTTTTTAATTAGACTTGCACATCACCCAACCATGTTTCGGTCAATGGTGGGCTGCATATGTGACAGTGGTCTCATGAGATTATAATAGTGTATTTTTACTGCCCTTTTTCTATGTTTAGCTGTGTTTAGAGACACGCGGTCTGTGTAAGTGCACTCTATGATGTTCCCACAATGAGGAAATTGCCTAACAGTAGATTTCCTAGAACGCATCAGGTCGTTAAGCAACACATGACTGTATTTCAAGGTTTCTGTGGGACAGAAGTTCAAGAGCAGATTGCTGGGTAGTCCTAACTAAGAATCCTGCAGGTCATAGTCAAGACTTAAGCCAGGGGCCGGGCGCG